TCTGACGTTTATAGATGAAAGCATCATCGCCTACAGGGCTCTGCACTCATCTAGCCTTGTCTACAGGGCCAATAAAAGGAGACACTTAGCCTGCGCTTAAGATTTATGATCTGCACCAAAAACTATAATCTATAAAGGTGATGTAATTGGCTCTTGAGATTGTTTTATTCAATCCCTGATGAACTGTACAGTAAAGTTGCTAGAAGCTAGAACTGTGTGTGGTTTAACGGGGTTTTATGAAAACCCAGATGATGTGACAGAAGGAGGGAGGGTGTGGAGGCTCTGTCTGTCTGACCGACTGAGTGACAGACTGACAAGGTGGTTCAAGGAGCCAACCCACCGCAGGCTGCAACACCTGGATAGAAGCAGACACTTCGGTCAGAATGTCACGAAAAAGCAGGCATTTGCCCCGGAGGTGTTCAGCCAGCAAGCACTTTTTGGATTTTGTGTGTGTGTGTGTGTGTGTGTGTTAGGGCTGCAACTAACGATTATTTTCATAATCGATTAATCTGTCGATTATTTTTTCGATTAATCGATTAATCGGTTTGTTATTGTTTAGCTATTTAACCTATACAAGTGATGAATACATTTCAGTTAAGAAAAAGAAAAACATAAGAGAATTGTGCAGTTGACTGCAATCTATTTTATTGCACATGAATACAGTCAGCGGTATAAAATGAGCTAAACTGTGCAAAATATCAGTCCAGAATAATTTTTTGGCATCAAAATATAAGAGGTAAATTCCATAAAAAATAATGTAGAATCTGGGATAGAGTTTGTAAGTGGTATGCATTGCTAGGGGTGAGTGTCTTGTTCCCCATGTAGTTGTCCAACTTTGCTTGTTTTTTTCTGCATAAGAAACACAAATAAACTGAATTAAGTACACATATAAAATAAAGCAGCACACACACTACAACACTAAATCAATATTATATTATTTGAATTAATTAACAATATACAGTGATCATTTATTTTGACAAAAATGTGTTGTGAGGCGTTTTACAGCATTAGATAGTAAAACAGCCTTTTAATAGTTAAAAAAAGGACTTTCTGAATTTCTCCTGTATTTAAAAATTGAAAGCGTACAACTATGCCGCGTTATATTCACCTGGACACAGCTCGTCTGTATATTTTTCTCTGCGGAGTTGTCCTTTTTTGAATGAGGAACACAGTTATGGGTTTGTGCCGTTTTTCTCTTAACGAGAACATTCTTATGAACAGACGTGCTAAATTTGGCAAGCGCATGATACACAACACGGAGGAGATTCACGATTGCATCTAGTCAGTCAGAAGTAGAACACCGTAAACTGACGCGGCAAAAAAAAAAAAGTTTAACATCCACTATAACGAACTCAGCTAACACTAAGTCCCAAATGTGATCTGCGTTAGCTTGTTTATTTTCTGTTACTTACCGGACATTCCTCTGCTGCATCAGCCCCCACGTTTTCGTCTCAAATGTTCACTTAGGGACGTCGTGCTTCCGTCGTGCCATGGTTTTTGCAGGTCACCGGTCTTTTCAAGGCATCTAGTGAAGTGCTCCCATACTCGTGAGGTTTTTGTCCGGGGTTTCTCTTGTTTTGTCGCTTCTATTTTTCTTCTGTATTTCTTGTTGATCCGCCATCTCTCACAGCAAGATGAGCGTCAGTAACGTGATACGTCATGAAAACCGAGGGCACTTATTGGCTCATTTCTTCTTCTACGGCTCCACTGGTAGATCAGTGGCTCATTACTGCCACACACTGGCGGCAAATTTAACAGATTGTAACCGATGTCAGATTGTGGTAAAAAATAGACTTTATGCGGTAAAATATGATTATTAAACAACTAATCGATGACTAAAAAAGTTGTTAACTATTTTAATAATCGATTATAATCGATTAAATCGATTAGTTGTTTCAGCTCTAGTGTGTGTGTGTGTGTGTGTGTGTGTGTGTTTGATTTGAGTGACTGTGGTTAGTTTCTAGTTTGAAGCATGGTGTCCATCCATTCTAAATGAAAGACAGATCCTCAAAAAAGGACATAAAATATTTTTGAACATTATTTTTTAAAATTAGTTTAGGATCATGTCCGTTTGTCCATGTTTTGTGTTTTTAATATTTAAGCAAATTTGTATTTAATTACACTATTATTTTTTCTTTTCTTTTTCAAGAACAGACAACAAATGGAAAAGATCCCAACCTGCAGCCAACTCCTCTTTAGAAAACATAAACGTCCTTATTGAAACTGTCAGGCTAAGCTCACCCTAACCCAAAACCCCAGATGAAAATAAACTCCAAATAAAATCAACGAGCCATAAAATTAAGTGATATGTTCAAGTGTAATTCTATATTTTCTCTCTTTTTGCAGAATATAGTGTGTCAGAAAAACCTGAAACGAAGTAGATGTTGATGCAGAAGCAGCATGTAGAAGTGCTGCATAAAACTCAAGCTAGCCCTCCCCCCTGTTTAATTAGCTCAGATGGCTGTAAGTTTTTCATCTACAGGTATTCTAGCAATATCATTTTTTATCGGTGTCAGTTATTTTGTGAAAATTCAACAAATATATGTTCTGCATAGTTCCTAAAATATTCAGGTTCACATGTTTTCATGGGCTCACATTCATGATTTGGTCTAAAAACCATGTTTACATGTGGTGTCCTATCAAAAATGTTTGATTTGGTCTCATTTTCCCAGCAGAAAGCTCTTAGGTGGTTTTCTGCATGACCATTTCAGTACAGTCGGGTAGAACAAAATCCAGAATGGAGTATTGTGGCACGTACTGGTAAACTGGACCCTGTGCAAAGACAGATAAAGATCTAACCTACATGACACCGGCTAAACAATCCTCATTCACGTCTTTCAATGTTCTGTTCAAAGTCAAGGTGTCCATCATTTACGGGTTCTGACCTACAGAGCAGCTGAAAATCTTTTAGAGCTGAAGAAGTATCAGCATTAATTACCGATGATTTCATGCTTGTACTTGTTTTATATTCTGCAACATTAAGGGTGTTGTATTTTACCTTTCATTATCATGGTGCATGTTCTAGAATGGTCCATCCACGTGTCTAGTTCTCTTACAGAAATCAGGTTAAGCTCAGGAGGACAGCTACAGGAGACTGAAGCGTTATTTCCATGCTGCTTTTCTGCTGCGCTTGTTTGTTCGAACACAACCTTTGTTGTTTGTTGATGCCTGTGTGTGTTGTTCTTTTGCACCCACGCCTGTTTGCTCATAAAGAAGAACACGAAGGATTGTTAGTGAGAACACACACACTCACAGCTGCACAGTGTCTGGAGCTTCTTGTCCTTCCAAAGTCAACTCCGGATGGAGATGCTGTAACACGCAACCCGCTGAGAGGGTGGGCTGTCCACTGGTGGTTTGGACCCCCACACTGCTGTAACCGCTGGTTCCCTCTGAGGCTCCCCTCGGTGACGAGGTTTGTTTATTGATCTTCCTGTCTGTCGCACCTGCAGCGCGGAACCTCGTGCAAAGAAAGGTCAAGGATGCTGGAGAAATGTGTTTGTTTTCCCCTCCTAAAATCTTTGCACAGCTAGACTCACAGACAAATAGGGAGAAAAGATGGCAGCTGTTTGTTTTTTGTGGATGTTGCTGTTTTGTCTAAGTTTTGTTTTGTTTTGCTTTTGTTTTTTTGTGACTCGTGAGGAAAAAGTCCTGAAGCAAGGAGTTCATCAGCTTGTAATTGTGTTGTGAACTAAATATTTCCTAATTGATTTAAAGCAGTCGAAATTTGAAAGTTTCTGCTTTTTCTGAGTACATAATATCAAATCAGTGATTAAACTGATACTTTATGCATCAAAAGAAGTCTTTACCCTAAAATGAATTTGCACTGAGTGAATATGGCTGATGTTATCCTCCAAAAACACACACGGCAAATCTCAGGAGTTAAGTTGGACCACGAGAGATAATCCTTCGTTGTTAGAATTAAGCTTCACACAGACATTGTGTGAGACATTATTTCAAATCGCTTCTTTGACTTTTCTTATTATGAATTATTACATATCAGTATTAAAACCCTAATGGGGAAATATAAACATAATAAAAATGCATCTTCATTTCAGTGTGTCTTTAACTTCTTGCTTTTATAATCCAGCAAACTTAATACGGGTTTTACTGGGAATCAGGGGTGCACATAACTTTTTCAATGTGACACTTTTGTGAGCACCAAACGTTAATGATTGGGACGCACTCCATGTGTGGTAGACACCTCCACCCCCATGACTGGTTTAATGAAGGAACAGCAACACACGTTATCTCCACCTATGAGCATACCACCCACCCCACTCTACACTACAGCTACAGGAATGTTTAGACAAAGCCATGAGGTGTGTGTAAAGTTCCCCAGATTCCACTGTTTTTTTCTGTTTCACACAAAAATAATTTCATTTTATACTGACCAAGCTGTCGCTCTGCCAGTTTTAAAGTCTGGTAATGCTGGATTACATGAAGCACGTTGATGTCAAGCCTGCAAAGTTGTCTGACTTTGCAGCATTTATTTCTCAGCAACAGCAGAAGTGCTGTCACGTGAGCCCACACAGACAGACAGACACAGCTGAGGGTGTAGAGGAGGTCACGGGAGAGGGACCATCTGATGCCAGCAGATGGAGTGATGGAGGGAGGAGAGGATCGTGGAGGAGAGGCTGGGAAACAGGAAAACAAGACCACATGCTTGCGGGCTCATCTGAAGGCACCGATTTCACTTCACATCTCATCTGCTCCAATGGACCCACCTTATGCTAAACTTTGCGGTAGAGAAGTTACAGAAGTCGCAGCTAAAAGACGATTTTCTGTTACTGTAGCTGTAAAATATATTTTTGAAATAAACACAGATTCAGAATCTTCTGGTTACAAGAAGCAAATAAGGCCTCTAAGGACTCTCTTCTTCAGTTCTTGGTTATTATGTGCCTTGTGCAGCTGTTGCACCCACTGCAGCAGTGCTATCTCAGAAACACACTCACGTCCCCAGCACCTAGAGTCACCTCTGTCTCTTTCTGTTTGTGTTAAAGAATGGAGCAGTTCCCGGAGAGCCAGTGAAGAAGGATGAAAACTCCCGGAGAGGCAACTGGGGCAACCAGATAGAGTTTGTCCTCACAAGTGTGGGCTATGCAGTGGGCCTGGGCAACGTCTGGAGGTTCCCCTACCTCTGCTACAGAAATGGAGGAGGTGCGTATCTGATTAAGAAACGATTTGTATTTGTTCTTTTTGAGAAACGATCAGCCACTCAGAGTTTTACATGAATGCAGAATATGAAAATAGTCTTCTACCATAATTTCCTGCATTAGCAGCTGATAAAATGATGGGGACAAAACATCAGCATTCCAAAGTGAATGGAGGCAAAGGAAGAGTCATGTTGCTGTTAGCCAATCAGTGGCAAGATGTTCAAATATCATGTTTAGAAACGAGTAAACTGCCTTTTTCTGCCCCATTCCTCCAGCTAACATCTACTTCCTGAAACAGAACTTTTGTTGCACAGAACATGGCTCACAAGGCAGAATTTATTCTAGAGACCACAGAAAATTTATATTATAGAAAACTTGTCAATGAGAGCTTTAAGAATCATACTTTTCTTTTGTTCAAAGAGCAAACTAATCAATCAATCAATCAATCAATCAATCAAAGCTTTATTAGCTAACAGACTGGCTTCGCCTCACATCCTGTGTCTTGGTGGTTTGTAAAGCTCTGTAGTCATGCTCAATCAGCTGCACCGTCCTGTAAATGTCATCATCATTTCTCTCCTAACAAACAAAGATTTTTTGGTTTGGACAAGTGAAAGAAGAATTGCATTAAAAAGCAAAAAGTAAACTAGGAAAATCCAGCAGTTTGACAGCAATGAGCAATCAGATCATTTTACACAAATGTAGTCCAAACAAGCCTGCAGCTAAATTCTTTCTTTCTTTCTTTCTTTCTTTCTTTCTTTCTTTCTTTCTTTCAGCAGAAAGAGGTTACAGAAATATTTTTCTTCATTTTTTTCCTTTGCATGTTTTCAGTATTCTTTTGTTTTTGTTGTGGGAAGGGGTTTAGGGTGATTTATTTATTTTTTATCTGTGATTTCTCAGGTTAATTGATTTCAGGGTTACTTGCAGTTGGTAGTTGCTGTATTTTTTAAAGATAAAACATTTCTAAAGTAACCTTTCTGAAGGAGCACATTGATTTTAAACCATTACCATACAGCAACAGTACCGCATCAGGATTGATTCATTTTTATCTGTGGAAGATTAACTACCCAAATATAACTTTTTAATTATTTTACCACTTTCTTGATCTTACAATCAGATCAAAACTGGCCTAAATTCCAGTATTTGAACTGAATGTTTTTTTGTCTCTTTCTAACTTAAAGGGACATTATGGAAGTTTGACAGCCAAAACATGTATAGAAATAATAAAGTTCTTCTTCATACATTCTCCTGCAATGCCCTGGTCCTGTAGAATGAGCCCTGGCATTTTTACTGTGATTGCCTGTTTTTCTGTAAAATCACAGAAAAAGAGAGATGCTCTGGTCGAGCAGGCTGCTTCATGCGCGTTCACGCTCAGACATCGCCCGTAGCATTTGCTATCAGTAGCTTTAGCAGCAGAGAGAGAGGCGGTGCCACTTTGTCGCTGTTCCTAACGCCTAGTGACAAAGCTAGCTACATTTCTGAGGACCCTTAGCTACTTTCTGTAGAACATTCTTCTAGATATTTCCTGCAAATTAGCAACAAAATAGCCATTTTCGCTCCGAACCGTTCTTTGAACGTTGTTTCAGCTGTCATCAAGGATATAAATGTTACAGATACAAAGGACGTCACCGGTGCTTTAGTTCACCTAGTAAGACGTCAGACTCCCGAAGTCCTGGGTTCGATTCTGGATGTGAACATAGTTTATTTAGAGTTTATTTTTTACATTAATGGTAATTTTTTTACAGTAAGATGCCCACATTTTTATTTGAGATTCGCCGAACGGCATTGAATTCACAGATAAAAAAGATGTGGGTTCAACTTTCATTTTGGAACAATTTCTCAAGCAAGGGAAGGGAATGATCTGAGCATGCAGTAGGACTGACCCATCTTAAACCTTTGTCAGCTGTGCTGAAGAGAAAGGTACAGAATAGGCTTGGGCGGTATCCAAATTTGAATACCGTCTAACTTCCACTTAATTTTACCCCGGTATACGGTATTACCGTGAATACTTAAAAAGTATGACGTAAGCCTCAAGTGGACCTTCACCTTTCTGAATCCGAATACCAAACAATTACTAAAAAAATAACAACGCAACTTACATACTATTAACAACATTTATTAACACAAAAATGCGGCTTATAAACAAGTGCAAAGAGTCAACAGTCCAACTGCAATAAATCAACGTAAAAACCCAGGACCGCTGTTGTGCGCAAATCAAGTGAACAACTTATCAACGAGCAGCATGAAACACTGCAAATAAGCTGTAACAGTCAACAAGAGTTGAATAACCATAAACATTGAAATTATAAAAATTATTGCAACCAAAACAACTGCATTAAAATTATAAAAAGAAAACTCCGTCACACGGCCACACGCGTGCGCGCGCGCACACACACACACACACACAGGACACATTACAGCATGTTGCAGCAAATCTAGTTAAGATTTCTCGCCAGAAAAACCAGAATGTTTACTTTTTCTGGGTTCAAGTTTGCACGTTGTGGACCAACAACTTTACCTGCGGTGCTGAAAACCCGCTCCGATGGTGAGCTGGTGCCTGGTGGCACATTTACATAGATACCTCCGGGCCAGTCGTGACAGCTGGGGAAAAATACTGCCAGCATATTTCCACCAGAGAAGAGGGTCTTCGTCCCCTTGAATAACAGGTTCCAAACAGTACGCTGTTATTTCATCTCCAGCTCGCTGCTCTGCGTGGCTGACGGGACCCTCCGGCGCAGCGTGTCAGCGCAGCGGCTCGTTTTTGCAGGAGAGCTCACAGAGACATCTTTTTGCGTGGGGGTTCAGGTTGTGATCATTCCTCTATGGTTCGGATGCTTCTGGTGCTGTTTGTCCCTCTAAGCTCACGATCTCAGCCTGTAATTCAGCTTTGATTTCAGCCAGTGCGCTGTCACCAAGCTCATGTCTGCCACGGTAACGAGGGTCGAGGAAAGGGCATTTTCGCATTAATTTGCGCACTGAATCAGATTCATACTTGGCCTCCAGCTTTTTTAGAATTGTGGTTTTTATTGACTTTGTAAGCTGGAGGTAGTTTTCTGACACAGCCAACACGCTCTCCCTGCAGAGCTGGAGTATGGGGAGGATAGAGGAACTGGTCAGTCGCACAGCTGTTTTTCATGACGGTATTGGAACTGACACCGTCGCTATTTTGTAATACCGCGTGTATACTCCTCCTTGAACCGTCACCTTATCGTGGTGGAGGAGTTTGAGTGCCCTAATGATCCTAGGAGCTATGTTGCCTGGGGCACTTAGTGCCCCTGGTAGGGTCTCCCATGACAAATTGGTCTTAGGTGAAGGGTGAGACAAAGAATGGTTCGAAGGATCTTTCATGGCGGTGAAAACGAAGAGTCGGAGTACCCGGCCCGGAGGGTTACCGGGGTCCCACCCTGGAGCCAGGCCTGGGGTTGGGGCCCGTGAGCGAGCGCCTGGTGGCCGGGCTTTCGCCCATGGGGCCCGGCCGGGCCCAGCCCGAACCGGATACATGGGCTCGTCCAACTGTGGACCCACCACCCGCAGGAGGAACATGAAGGGTCCGGTGCAATGTGAATCGGGTGGCAGACCAAGGCGGGAGCCTTGGCGGTCCAATCCCCGGACAAGGAAACTAGTTTTTGGGACATGGAACGTCACCTCGCTGGCGGGGAAGGAGCCGGAGCTTGTGGCAGAGGTTGAGCGGTACCGGCTAGATATAGTCGGACTCACCTCGACACATTGCATTGGCTCTGGAACCCGAGACCTGGAGAGGGGTTGGACACTCTACTTTGCTGGAGTTGCTCCGGGTGAGAGGCGGAGGGCTGGGGTTGGCTTTTTGGTTAGCCCCGAGACTCTCTGCCTGTGTGTTGGGGTTTACCCCGGGGGACAAGAGGGTAGCTTCCTTGCGCCTTCGGGTCGGGGAACGGGTCCTGACTGTTGTTTGTGCGTATGGGCCAAATATCAGTTCAGAGTACCCACCCTTTTTGGAGTCCCTGGGACGAGTGCTAGATAGTGCTCCATCAGGGGACTCCATTGTCCTGCTGGGGGACTTCAATGCTCACGTGGGCAATGACAGCTTGACCTGGAGGGGTGTGATTGGGAGGAACGGCCCACCTGATCAGAACTCGAGCGGTGTTTTGTTATTGGACTTCTGTGCAAGCCGCAGTTTGGCCATAACGAACACCATGTTCGAACATAAGGATGCCCACCGGTACACTTGGTACCAGGGCAGCCTAGGTCACAGGTCGATGATAGATTTTGTAGTCGTATCATCTGACCTGCGACCGTATGTTTTGGACACCCGAGTGAAGAGAGGGGCGGAGCTGTCAACTGATCACCACCTGGTGGTGAGTTGGATCAGATGGCAAGGGAACATGCCGCGTAGACCTGGCAGACCCAAACGCATAGTGAGGGTCTGCTGGGAACGCCTGGCAGAAGAACCTGTCAAGACGGTCTTCAACTCCCACCTCCGGCAGAGCTTTGACCACGTCCCGAGAGCAGTGGGGGACATTGAGTCCGAGTGGGCCTTGTTCCACTCTGCGATTGTCGAGGCGGCTGTTGCTAGCTGTGGTCGTAAGGTGGCCGGTGCCAGTCGTGGTGGCAACCCCCGTACCCGCTGGTGGACACCAGAGGTTCGGGGAGCCGTCAGGCTGAAGAAGGAGGCCTACAGGGCGTGGCTGGTCTGTGGGTCTCCGGAGGCAGCAGACAGGTACCGGATAGCCAAGCGGGGTGCAGCAGTGGCAGTTGCCGAGGCAAAATCTCGGGCGTGGGAGGAGTTTGGTGAGGCCATGGAGAAAGACTATCGATCGGCTCCAAAGAGGTTCTGGCAAACTGTCCGGCGCCTCAGGAGAGGAAGGCAGCAACTCGCTCACACTGTTTACAGTGGGGATGGGGAGCTGCTGACGTCAACTGAGGCTATAGTCGGACGGTGGAAGGAATACTTTGAGGAGCTCCTCAATCCCACCAATGCGCATTCCGAGGAGGAACCAGAGCTGGGAGGCCTGGGGATGGACTGTCCGA